CCCGCCCTTCACTTCAAGCACAGTAAAACATGTTAAAGTTTCGTGGTGCTGAAGCGCGCCCTTTATAACAAATTTGGTCTTGCGCATCCGATTCACTGGAGGTGCTTAAATACAGTAAAACCGTGGCCTGCTCCCTAGGTCCCCCTAGGCAACTAGAAGCAAGTCGATGGTACGCTTGCACAGTGTCAATCTCTTATTAGAATTTGAAGTGTAGTATTTACCTGCTGAATTGGAAAGCTGCCTGCCTGGCAACTATCCCAAAACATCGGGATATTATTTTATCGTACTCCGTCTACACGTGAAAAGTTTTCTTAATTTATAAAAGTTATTCACGGACAAAAACAATATCATTTCATGATGTGCACTAGGACCTTGTCATGACGTGCGCGTAACGGTAACGGTTCTTCTACGGAATCTCCGGGTACGTCGAAGTAGCAACGCCTGGAGTCCATTTATTGGAGACACGCGCAGACACAGATTTTGATTCACACCAACCCACCTTTGATTTACCACAGACCCAATACCAATGGCGAGTAAGAAATCTAATGTTTATAAGTCAGGAAAAGCTTTCACGGCTGCCGCAGCGTCTATGAGTAGAACTCGTTTTACCGTACGTGGCTCTGAAAGATGATTCGTTGCTGTTGTTCACTTCTCTTCCCCACAATGTGTACACAAAAGCTGGCATTCACTGTGAGAATCGTGCGCGATTTTTATATTTTTATATTTTTACCCAAGAGAGTAAAATGGATTGAGGTTGGTGTTGCTGCAGCGACGGCTAGATTATGGTACGTCACGCAATTCGAAACGGTGTCTCAGAGAGTGCCTAGTATTTTGCTTTTAAAAAAATTGAGCCATCCTGAAGTTAGTATTAGGAACTCTAATTCCAGTTTCACAATTGGATCAGGGCCTAATGATTTTGCACAAAAGTTTGAGGTAGCAACCGAAGTTAGTCTCGCCCGTTTTTTAATTTACTTTTTTATAACCTTTTCTCTTTTGCCTCACACTTCTTTTATTGCTCCTCATTTTCCTAGACTCACAGGACTAACCAAAATTTATTGAAGACTCGGAAATAAAGCTCCTGTTGTTGTTTTTATGGTTTTTAATTTCGTCGAAAGTGTCTGGAATCGAGAGCAACCGGTGGATTTCCTACTACCCAGCCGTTGCAGTGAACAATGCTAACTACTTTACGCCCTCTCCGGCTGATACGTCATCAATTAAAGTTATCGCTGCCAAATCAAAACAGCTATGAGAAATTCCAGATATTATTTTGTTGTAAAACGCTGTCATGTTTATTCACGTGTCGTTTTGTACGTACCTCCAATGTTGGAGCTTCCTTATTGATCAGTACTGATGGCGCACTGATGAAAAAAAATTGCATAAGCATACGTCGTTTCATCAGTAGTGCTGCAGTGGCTTTCAGGAGGATCTACTATCTTATAGATTTGCTTACATTTGCGGACCTCAAACCGGTCAATAAAAGGCTATCAGAAATATCCGTAATGCACCGTATCCAAATCTGAAAAAAACTCTGTTTCATGAGAAGGTAGCGATGCCTCTCCAGTTTTTTACATGTTATAATGAAAGCTATTAAATGAGCCACCGTGAATGCGACCTTTCATAAACCCTTTTATTATTTCGGGGACACGCCAGTGTAGCTCAGTCAGTGAAGAGTTGAATAGTAGTCGGATGTCCATGCGTTGGGGACACCACTCGATCGCTGGCGTTTTGTTCTTACTACATGGATGTCAAAATATGTTCGTACGCCTGAGTGTGTCAAGTAACATACGACTATTTCAAGACCAAATTTCACGGGGGTTCTACCGATCCTTTTGTTCTAGTTGTTCAGGGAGAAGAGCGACAATTATGAGGTAGATAAATTTGTAAAGTTAAGTCAAATTGGGAAGAAAAAAGGAGATCATACACTGCAGTCGACTGGCTGTAGATTTGTGCCTTAAAAATCTGATATTCTTGGCTGATAGGATTAGAGGAGAATTCTCATCTGCTGATGTGTGCGGACACCTCAGACAAATCGAAGAGAAAATTGAAGAAAATTGACTATTGTTCGGCTCATGCTGACTCTTTGTTTGGCCAAGGCATTGATTGTGAAATAAAGACCTAATAGTCGTTGCCTTTTGCATATAAAATCATCAAACCCTACTTAGAACTCATTCGTAACTGGTGACTTCTTCGACTGTAGGAATTGTACGGCTTTTAGTTGAGAATGAGCTTTCACATATAGTTGCTTGGTTCCTTTCCCAAGTTTGCTTATACCGTAATATCATGTACGGTTCTTGGTCACGGAGGCATTCGAAATCGTTTCCCGAGTCACTGACGAAGAATGTGTGGCGTCCGCAGTAGAAACGCGGGTTGTGGTGAAAAATTGCCTTTGAAGGCAAAGCGTTGACTCTTGCGGAACTTGCCAACGCTACAGTAATCGCCGCGGAATCAGATACGATCTTGACGGCCCGAAAGAAAGGCTGCCGCGTGCTGAATAGGATTTGGTCCGTTTTATGGCGAGGCAAATTACACGAAAAATTAAGCGTTTCAAGCGCTTTGCTTTATTGCATCGCGGTAGTCATTTTTTCTGTCGTTTTTACGCCCAAGCCGTGTTGTCGGAATTCACCGTTGGTCAGGTAATGACCTCCTGGCGAATCACACAGCACCTGAAAAACACGCCACAATGGTCGGCTGTATCCTGCCCTTTTCAAGACCGAGAAAACTCCTCGTCCCGTCACGAGGCTCTCAAGGGCACCGAACACTTGTCACAACAATCAATTAGTACCGGCCTAAAGGTCAACTTCGTTGTAAATTGTGCGCGCGGCGTCGTTGTGTAAAAAAGGAAACTTCCCTCAAGCAACTCAACCATTGACGGCGTGCCTACGGTTTGCCAGTGCCAGATTAAAGTTTGCACCTTCCCGAGATGGGAAAAGCGGTAGGTGGCCGGCGTCTCGTTCCTTGCCGTGAAATGTCATGAATTGTCATGCTGCACCAATAGGTAGAAAACAAAGGCAACGACTTTGCAGCGCTCCTTCCACTTCAGCACATGGAAAATGTAACTTCTGAGTGTCACACGAAAAAAAAAATGAAAAGCGCTTTCCCACCGTTAAACCACGACATAAAGCGAAACCAGTCATGCGAGACTCACGACGACTAACAAAGCATGGATCAGACCAATGATGATGCCACAGGCTTTTTAACTTATTTTGCGTCTTCAACAAGCCCCTTCCATTACAGACTACAAAGGATGGAATCCATTTTCATCGGTTGCTTCATTCGCTCGTGAAACCCATTTAAATTTTCGTTATTATATTACACGGTTATTAAATTTATGGCATTCGATTTTCCTCTGGTGCCGTCACCTGTACATGAACTGACACTAACTGGATTGATCTTTCGTATGACCATCGTTCGTCAGCATAATCTTGGGCAGATAATAACCAAGCGATTGAGTACGTTTTTTTACATTTATCTGGTGGCCGCTTAGCGGAGGTCAGTGATGATCCCTGAAATAATCAATGTAGAATAATCATCATAAAACGCACCGAAGAACTGCAGCATTTGACAGTGGCGTTTCACAATCGTTGGGCCTGCTCAAACTGACTGGCTTTCACATGTAGGAAGGCGAATGCATTATCTTAAATGAGATGTCTGCTGCTCTTGAGAAAGCACCAGGGACGTCAACTGGTAACCTTGCCACGTGGCTACTAAAGAAAGCGCTTGTACGATGTCCTGACTATGCCAGTGATGGGGGATAGCGGGCTGTCTGGGATGAAGTCGTACCATTTGGTGTTGAACATCCGTTTCTGATTGATCATTTGGAAAGCTTGAAGATCATCGCCATCCGCCTTTGTGGTGCTCAGGTGTCGGCTTTACAGCTTCATACAAGAGTAGATTAAGAGATTTGGAAGCAAATCCAAAGTAGCTTTATAAGGTGGTGTGACACCATATTTATTCTC